CTTAAAAGGTCTTATCATACTTTTAAAATTTGATAAACATTGTTGGAAAATCATTGACATTGGAGGTTTGATTTTAGGATTGGGACTTCCAAAGAGTCCACAAAGAGTGCGAGAAAGAATTGTCCTATGTACTTTATTGCTGATCTGCATAATTTACTCGGGATATTTCCATTCGATGATTACAACCATGGAATTGCGAGCAGTTGCATATCAGGAAATAAATTCACTAGAAGAACTCGCTGCTACCAATCTACCTCTACAGACATCTGTTATGTCTTTCTTTGAAAAAAGCGACAATGAACCAAAGTACTTTAAACAATTGAGAAAAAGATCTAAAAAACCAAAACATGTGAGTCATGTTAATATTTGCATAAATAAATTATTTCATTACAAAAATATATCATGTTCTTTATCTCCTAAGATTCTTATGAACAAAATAAATATAATGAAAAGATTGCAACAAAAAATGGAAATTAATATTTTGGATGATACTCTGTCTTACAGAGGAACAGTCATTGCTGTTGAACCTGGATTTCCCATAATTGATAATTATAACAAGAAACTCCTTCAATTTATTGAAAATGGATTGATGTCAAAGTGGATGTTTTACGATTCAAAAATACCGTCAATTTCAATGAAAGAATCAATAGATGAAAGTTCATCAAAAGCATTTCTTTTACGAATTCTTGCAATTTTGACTTTTGGCTATTTATTGTCAATTGCAGTTTTCATTGGCGAAATTTTATGGCATTACTTAACTTACACAAGGAAATTGAGAGTTATTGACCTTCAAAAACAAAAGAGAAAAAATTTTCAATGGTGTATCTTTGCAAATTTTCGAAATCTCACGACAAAAGGAACAAGAAGAATGCAAAAATAAAACAAGAGAAAACAACAAAAATGAAGTACCTGAATTCTAGATTTGTAGAAATTTATAAGTTTTCGATATTTTATTGTCGAAAAGTGCATCAAAAAGGCCCTATAAATAAATTGAAGATAAAAAATATATATATCAAGAGAGTGTGTGAAACGTATACTATTTATTTGAAAAAAAAATTTATTCTAGACTCTTAAGTGGATTGAGTGTTTTTTCTTGTGCTTGCTCTCTCTTTCTTTCTTTCAAAAAACACAAGAATGTTTTGGCAACTGCTTTAAAAATTACTAGAGGAAGTTGATGCTATGAATATACAGATGGAAACCGTTGACTCTCGATATTTCCCGACTACATAATAATCGACATTAAATTCACACACACACACACACATATGATAAGATCGGAGTACAATTTTAAATATAGTCATAACAGTAGTTTCAATGATAAATTATCTATGGAGTAACAAAGTGTAACTGGGATGTACGACCTTTCCTGATAAGAACGGCACAAGCGAGCAGATTAATCTCCGAGCATCATTCAGTTTACAAAACCTCTTAATATGTTGCAACTTCGTAATAAATTATTTCCTCGCATATCACACCGTTAATATAAAAAAAAAAAAATTATTGTCAAGATGCGCGCTGTTATACTTTAAGGAAAGATATACATTTGTCTTAGAACCATATAAATATTTATTTGTTTCAAATAAATTTTACTTGGTTCAAATAAATTTTGTTTGATTTAAATAAAAATTTTTATTTTCCCTAAATAAAATTTTATTTATGCAAAATACAGTTTTTTTAAATTTAGAACAAAAAGTTATTAGACAAATATTTTTTGACAAATGAAAATAAGATCTTCGTGTCAAATTATATTACAGTTTCTGTTAATTTACAAATAATTTTCACATTTTGTATATATGTGTATTTTAATTTGTTAATTTACTTTTCATTATCCGCGAGTTATTAAAATTAAATTAAATAAATAAATGCCATGAATCCATTTCAATTAATGATAATTAGACATGTTAATTTAATTGATCTATTTGAATCATCGAACCAATTAATCAAACTTTATTACTCAACTGATTCATTAATGAAAAGTTTCTATGCAAGAAGAATAAATTATAAAATGTAAAAGTGAAGAGAGAATATATAAGAAAATGAGAATAATTAATTAAGTACTTATGGCATGTGACTCGAAACTATTTTCTATATATACTGTTTTAATTGAAATAGCGAATTCCAGTGTGTGTAATAATTTCAATTTATCGTTGTACTGTATACAGAATTCGATACAATGTATTATCAAGATATTCTGTTGGAATATCAACATATCGATCTATCAATTTACTGTATCGATTATTCTATATATTATCTCGATATATTAATATTTAATATCGATATATCAAATATCGAATATAAAATCGTAAAAAAAAATATTTTTTTTGAATATTGTACACATTTTTTGAATAATAATTATTATATATTGGGATTGTTGGCCTGAAATAATGACAAGAGGATATTGTAACTGCGTTGTGATAATGAAGTTGCGATAAACTCGCGAGATGTACTATTTCCCGCCTGAACTGTAAAAGATAATCCTCCCGAGACTCTCTCTCTCTCTCCCCTCCCCTTTGCTTCGCGAAACTTTCAGCGCCACGCAAATCGTCATTCATTCATGTGCTTGGTACAGTCATAAAGTTCCAAGAAGAAGTCAATTTGCAATATACTGTAATGAAATGCACTTCTAATAAAAAGGAATAAATAAAATATTTAAAAAAATGTACTTTTCTCTCCCATCCATAACCTTCTCTCATCATTCTTCTTAAAAAATTATTTTTTTCGCTAATTTTATTTAAAAAAAAAATAAAAATTAGTGAAAATAAATAATTTAGATATATTTTATTTAGATTTAAATTTTTTTTTCGTTATTATATAATCATTAAATGATAACAATAATTATCGAAAATAAAAAAAATGATTATTGGGAATTAAAAAAAAGAAACTGCTTTTAATAGTTTTGTCTTTTCAGGTTTTCTATCATGGTTTTCTAAACCAAAAGATTAAATAAAAAATAAACTTTAAAAATTTTCATCGATATTTACTATAACCGCAGAAGAAAAAATTAAAGGTTAACTAAATTAAATTAAAAACGGAGCAGAATTCTATATTACCGATTGAACAAGAAACGATGTGTCGTGTGCGCGTCTCATCAGTGACACCATCTGGCCGCGATTATGCTTGTAAAAATATTCCCGTCCGTTCTCTGTTTTTATTAACTGGAAAACGACCTGTACTCATCTATATATACACACATACACACAAGAGCGTCACAATGTTTCCGCTCACGAAAAAAAAAATCTCAGCTACTTAATATATACATATATATATACATAGAAAACAAATGCATATTTACATATTCTATATATCTATAGACATCTTGGAAACTCTTGTCAATTTTGCAAATGAACGAAACCGCCGCTTCCAAACGCCGAACGTTTGATGTCGATTTTCCCCCTTTTTTCCACCGCGCGCGCATCAACCAACCAAATCAAACTCCGCTACTTATCAAAGGCAATATTTGCTTTTCCACCTCCACCTTCTTCCTTCTTCTTAAACCAAGAAATATTAACCATCTTCTCCCTGAAAGTTATTTCCGTCTTTGAGAATTGATCAAAATTTATTATGAAAGACGATTACTTTGTGTTTTTTTTTTTTGTATAATTTGTCGAGAAAGAGAGTCAAACTTTCTTCACTGTCGAACGGATACGAATTTAAAACTCGGGGAATCACAAGACAAGTGACGCCATCTTTGAACGTTTTCTGAAAACTATTGATTCATATTTCTTTTTCCCGCGCATATTTTCAATCAATTGTATTTTTTAATAAAAAATATGTAAAAGAACGTATCATTATAAAAAATAATAATAATATAATAATAATAATTCCAATTTCTAAGGATAAAAATATAAAATGCAAAGTAGAAAATCTTTATTCAATTTTTTTTCTTCAGATTGTTCAAATTGTGTCTTTTCAGGTTTTCTAAATACCCTTTTTTAGAATTTTTGTTTGTTTTATTATTTTTATTATACATAATAATAATAATTATTATTATTACTATTTTTTAGTAACATTTTTATATTAACTAACATTGATATGAATGTCAAATATAAAAAAAAAATTTATTAAAAATGTGTTTCATTTTATCAGAAATGGAATGTGTCATTCACACGAACTATTATATTGATCATAAAAATAATAGATATCTAAAAGTTAAAATTTGCAGACTTGAGGATTTATATATTTAAATTTATGCAAAGTTCATTACATTGTGTGCGAACATTTAAAAAAAAAAAAAGTAAAGCTTGCCAATAAAAATATACTATTAAAATAACGCCACGAGATTGACATCGGGACAAAAATCACTCTGAATTGAAAGTCGAAATATTTTTTCCTAAGAAAAAAATTCATAAAGAAAATTGTCTAGCAAATATAATCACGATAGAAAAAAAAATTATATCCGTTTTTTGAATTCGATTTAAGAGACAAGTATAATATATGATGTGTTTACATATTTTACAAATTCAGATATGTGTTTCTTTTGATTTTTTTTTTTGCTTGAATATATATATATATAAGCAATGACGCAGCAGTATAGCCTTGTAACGCTAATTGCGCGATTTAGATTTAGTAATTTGTAGGACGGAAATTAATGGATAACTTGCAACTAGTATATATTTGCAAGAGAGACTAAATTAACGCCATGGCAAATGCCCAGGTAGTTTAGATGCTCGTGATGTGTCCGGCGCCCAAAATCTATTGGAATATATGTAAGGAGCAGCAACTATTCTATCGACGGCTCATTGCCATCTCGAGGAGCGAGCCATCATTCGCCTCACCGTAAACGCCTCAATTCTAATTCCTCGACCAATTTCCGATTCTCGATTGCCTAACTTATCTATTTCTTCATCAATGAAATACCATTTCTCCAAAGTGAATTTTCCCCATATCCAATTCAATTTCGATATTTTCTTCTTCAATTACAAAATTGTCCTAATTACTTCCCTCTTTTTGGAATAATAATGATTTTTTGTATACTTAATGAAAAAATTGTTGTGTTTCAGGCTAAGGATGTCCTCTAAGAGGAAGTCGCCACCAACTAAGTTATCGGAGGGCGGGGGCGGTGCGGGTACAGTGGCGGGCGAAGAGGAGGAGGACACCACCTCGTCTTTGGCGGGTGCAGGTGGTGACATTCCCGAAGAGGTCACCTCCGTCGACATTGAGGACTGTTATTCCCTACGAAGACCGGATTGTGAGTCGTCAGGTTGCTCATCGCCGGGGACAACGAGTGAGCCCGAATTACGCGACTCACCGTCCCCATCTCCAAATTCACCGCCAACCTCTAAAAGACAAAGGGTACTATTCCTCTCGAATCAGGAGAATTTGTCCTATCACAATCATCACACGAATACATCATCATCGTCGGGTGGCATACTTGAGCCAGCCAGTTCATCCGAGTGTGGTTCACCACCCACTGTACTCGCCGATTCCTATTACACCCATCAGGTGCATCATCACCATCATCATCATCATCATCATAATAATAATAATACCGTTACACAAAATAATAATAACAATAATAATAACAACAACAACGGCACTGGACCAACTGCCGCCGGAAGCAAGAGGTCCATGGACGACGTCCTCAAGAGGCTTACCTGCAAAATGAACACTGGCTCCCTCTGTCTTCAGGACGATACCAATAATAGGCGGACACCTCCGCCATCATCGACACCTACCAGTCACAACACTCACAGGTGAGTTCACCTTTTTTTTTGCTAATTTTTGAAACTGGATAGGTTATTTGGAAGTAAAACACGTATAAGATGAAAGATGAAATTGTAACAGATAAATTAAGACATTATTGAACAATTGTAATGTTAATTTAACAAACGTAGAATTGACTTTAATGTAGATTCTTTACTGAATTCTTTAAGTGAGCCGTACAAACTTTAATGCTATCCGCAGTACTATAATAGCACGACTAACAAAATCCTTCAACCCGGAATTGCACTCAGTTACCTCAAGTACCTGGTTTTCCCTTTCCACCTGAATTTTACTTAAAACCTTAAATATTTATAAATATCGTTGTATCTCCAACACTAATGTCTCTGTAATGTAGAAATTTCCATATTAGGGAAAAATTCAAATTCTAGATATTTACGATTTAGTTTTCTAAGGAATTTTTATTTTGCCGATGAAGCTTATTTAATATATATGTAGCTTCTAAAAGATTTCATCAAGTTTCTGGATGCTACACTAATTTTTTTTAAGAACCTTCTATAAAGTTTCTAGAGATGTTTAGAAAGTTTCAACAAAATTTCTAGTATAGGTTCCATGAAGTTTCTATATAGAATTTTTTATGCTATAAAAGATTCCACAAAGTTGCAAGAAGTTTTCATGAAGTTTCTAGAAAATTCTCCATAAAATACTCAGAAGATTTCACGAAGTCTCTAAAAGAATTCAAGAAGTTTTGCAGGAGAAGTTTCCAAAAATTTTCTAGAATGTTCGTTAAATTTTTTAACGAAAGTTACAAAAAAATTTCTGAACATAATTTTAGAAATCCAGAAGGTTCAATAAAATGTCTATATATAGATAATATTCGTTAAGTTCGCTTCAAGATTTTTTCAAGTTTCTAGAAAGTTTCAAAAAGGTTTTATGAAGTATCTAGAAGATTCCAATTTGTTTTAATTTTTCACTCTGGTATTTTTGCGCTTTGCTTGAATTCCTTATAACCTTCAAAAAAAAATATATATATATGCTTTCATCATCACATTGTATACATTCCGACATGTTGGACAAAAAATTCTGATGGTTATACACTATACACACTATCAAACGATATCAGAGAGTACAAAGCATCGATTCATGCACAATCTGCTGCTACCTCTTTCGATTATTAAACGAGTGTAACGATATCGCTCTTAGGGCATGATGATGATAATAATAAGTTCTTTGTGGAAAAAAATATAAGAAACATCTGGTTTTCTTGTTCCTGTATTTTTATACAATCGAGAAACGAACTTTTTTTTTCTATTTATATTAATGAGCTTCTTAAATCCATTATGATTATAAACCATTTTTCATTATGTGAATATTTTACGCATTGTAATAATTAGTTTAATGTCCTTCTATGAGATTCTGGCGTATATATAATTATGCGAAAGACTATAATATAACAGAGGTAGATAAGGAATTAAATGCCAAGTGCCGAGAAGATAAGAATTCTTCCCTTGAGATTTCTTATCTGACTTTTGATTTTGTCCTTTTCGTTTGATATCTTTCCCATCAAGAGGAATTTATACTTCCAAATGGATGTCTTTGGCATTCTTGTATTTTTTCCTTCTTCTTCTACTATACTCGCGACTCGTTTATATTCGTAGTTATCTTGTGCTCGGCTATTTGATAACGACCAACGTTTTACGGCCTGACTTTGTGGCTTTACGATGCAAGCGTTTAACGAACGCTTTTAACGCTTACTTAGAAGCGGATTTAATAGCAAGTGTATCCACCTTGAAGAAGAAGAAGAAGATTGCATTCGCCTGTGTGTCACCTGCCCCCATCGCGAGGTTCGTATAATTGACCCCCGCTTCGGATAACATGAGAATGGGATTTTAGAACAAGAAAAAAAATCACTAAAGTGTATATACTTATCTGAACTGCAACATTTTAGAATCCAAGTCGTAAACTCTGAATCTAAATTTTATTATACAATTCCTATACCTTCAAGGTATTCCTACCAAGGCTGTTATATTATAACAGTGGGCCAAAAAGTTTTTTGAAAATTCGGGAAAAAAAGTCATAACGACCACGCGCGACATTAGTTTAGCCTACTTTCTGGATTGTGTTCAACTTTTGTAGCGAGAGAAAGAGAGAGAGAATCGGTGAATTATCGCCTCTTTATACCATCTCTAAGAATATACTTTAACTGGCGACTTAGCGTAACTAGAGGTAAAAGAAGAAAAAAAATATCTTATCGGAAATACCCCCCCCCCATATCATCAATTTTGCCATGCATATATGAGAAACATAAGCTTTTGAAAAATGATTTAACATAAATTATCGGTAGGGATAAAAGGCCATAATGTGTGGAATCCGAACGGCATTGTTATGCAAAGGAATACTATATGGCAGATTTAGTGGGCCTGTGATAAATGGACTGCTTGGCCTAAACGGTTCTCCACTTATGCATCATGAATGATTACGACCGAAATTGCCACCTCGGGCATATATACACTATATACAATACACGTAACTCTCTTATTGCTTGCAACGAAGACGCTTTCATCTCTATACGCGAACCTATCTCTCTCTCTCTCTACCTCTTTTGCGAGAAAGGAATTTGTCAACCATTGTGTCGACAGATTCGTTGACGTTACCTCTTGCCAGAAATTCCATACCTTCGTTTTTTTCTGTATACATATAGTGAATTTGCAATTTTCTTTGTTCAAATAGATTGCCAAATCACTTTGGATCAGATTCTAGAATATTTAAATTTTTATAATTTTAGAAAAGATGTTTCTTTTTTTCTTGTCGCTTGAGATCGCCGCGACTATCTGCTTAATAAACATGTGTCTTCCATTTATCACAGTTCGTGTACGTTTTATTAAAGCGCGCATAAAATTGCATTACTTGCGGCGAAGAAGAGCGATCGGTGTGTGACGAGAGAAAGAGAGGCTGTTTATCTCCGTCCGAAGAAAATAAACCCTTTACGCGCAATAATAATAACAATGAGACTTTTGTTGAAGCAAGTGAGGGCGCTAATAGTGACGGTAGCCCCTAAACCCATTCATTGATAAATATCAAATCAAAGAAACGCGCTCAAGGCCATTCTGAAAGAAAGAATTATGATTCTTGGTACGCGAATCTTGTCCTAATCAGACATACGCATTCATTTCATTTACGATTTAGTTTTCTAAGGAATATTTTTTATCTCGTTGACCCTTATTTCCTCGGTTATGCGGATCTTCTGTTTCCATTTAGTGGAATTGTTGAAATTACAACGATAATTTTGTATTTTCAGATTTAGGAAATAAGTTAAAGGAAAATTTCAGGGAAAGGAAAAAGCCAGGTACTTCCAGTACCTACCGGCATTTTGGGTGTTAGTCGTACAAATTCGGTCCTGCGGTATGCACATTGTACGGTTCGCCTCAGGTCAATTTCAGTCTAAAGTTATTTTTCTCAAGTTTTCATGTATTTAAAGCCAATTTACAATTATTCAATAAAGTGTTAATTTACTCTATATTAATCCCTATTTTTATCTTTGGTACGTGTTTTATTCCACTCATTCTAGCTGAATTTCAACAGGAATATTTTAAGTGTTCGTTAATTCTTATTTTTCCACTTTGATGATTTTTTCAATCCGTTATGCTTCATACCATTTTGAGTTATTATCGGAGGTTTTCATTCTACCATATGGATTTCTTTTATGATTTGTTTTCTTTAAAATATTATGATATCCCTCCCTGTTTTATTAACATCTCAGTATTGAGGGCTAATTGAACAACTGTGTTTCTATTTGCATTAGGTATAGTTTTCCATTGCTTTTACTAGTAATGGAGGATCAATCTCACCAGAAAAAATCTAAATTAATTAACAAAAGTTGTTGATCTAACTCATTTATAGATTTTTTATTTTTCTTTCTTCTAAATTAATTATTCCAGTTGTTGGTTCGTACGCCACTCAAATCATAAAGAAGATTATAATTTTCTTTCTTGTTTTTTTTTTCTCAACGTTTTTTGAAAACCTCCAAGAAAAAAATACAGCAGAAAGTTGATACACACAGTAGTGGCCTAGATACGAAAATTGAGAGCTCAGCGTAGCATATGTTGAAGGACTTTTAAAAAAGTCAAAGAATAGCAGAGAAGGCCACCGATGTACCCGGCAGCATTGTACACAATGGACCTGTGTATCACTTATTCGTGGTCGTTTTCCGCAGTATAAAAGAGCCGTGGGTTTAAAAGAGACGCGCGGAGAGGGTCAGCGGTGTGGCCACGCTACTATAAGGGACGCTCCAGGGACGGTATCCGGGGGCCTATCACCGAGGCAAACACACTCGTCCCGTCGAGATTGCGCGGCCGCGGCTCCATCTATTATTCACTGAGCGCGAAACCCCCTTCCCTTCACTCTGTTCGGACAAGCCCGAGAGAGAGAGAGAGCTTGCAAACTAAAACACACCCACACTTTCAATTCGAGAATGAAAAAAAAAAACCCTTGTCGAAGACCTATCGAATGAAGCTGATGAAAATGCGGGGATAACAGGTTTCATTATGCAGCGGAAAAAGCGCATAAAATCAATCGAGGTCGGCTAACTGAAATTCCCCTGAAAGGGAAGCGTTTCATTTTCTGTATAGCATGCTTTTCATTGTGGCTTCAAATATATAAAGAATATCATATTTCTAGCAGGTTTTTTTTTACTACTTTCTTTTCGAGTTTTTCCGCAAGAATAATTTTTTCTTTTATATACAAGAAAGAAGTATATCTTCAATGGAAGAAGAAATAAAACGAGATTGTTTATGTGTTTCAGTAGCAGCAGCAGCATAGCAAATAGTGTCGCACCCTCGCCAACCGGAACCGGAAGGTCGCAGAATTCAGACACGGGTCTTCAGGACGGCGCTGCAGCATTGCACAGGGTTCTCTGTGCAGAGAGTGTTGCTGAGAAGGAAAGAAAAATATCGGAAATGATATTGCAATTGCAACTGCTTAGGGATCATTTGCTGCAAACGCCAGACCAGATGAAGGTGAGTCTTATTATATATATATATGTGTGTTCTACTTTGGTCTTTAATAAATCTCCCTCCCTCCAAGGCAAAATGGTTATGATCGTTTCTGAATCGTCTTTGGATCATTAGATTCAGGAACTGTTTACCAGAAAGGGGGAATTGAATATACGCACGAGGATATGTGATCGATTTGTCTAAATTTATTCGATTCGAAATGCCGTCACCCAATGTGTATATATAGGGAAGGCGAGGGAAAAGAGAGAGACTGTGTCGCAGGAAGTGTTGGACATTAAATCCCCTCGGGGTTACCTAACACACAAAATCATTGAGAGAAATTCGTGCGTAGTGCCACATCTGACTGAAATATCACATTTGATCGTATAATACCAATGAGATAACACACAGAGACCTAGATCGACGATAACTAAATATATAATCTTCCTGACCTGATGCAAAATTTACCTTCTTAACTCACATTCAATTCATATCAAATAGATCATATTTTTCTGATTATGTTTCCTTCTGGATTTATCGTTCTGGTAGATTTTTTACATTTTGGTTTTCTAAAATAAACCCTTTATTAATAACCTACTTTCTTTTTCGCAACGGTCTTTTTATTTCGGCAGAAAATCTTCTGTTATCTTAGATTTGTATTTTACGATTCGGTTTTCTAATAAATCCTTTATCAAACTTACCTTTTCGCAGCGCTATAGTCTTCTGTTTATTTCGACAGAAAATCTTCTGTTCTAACAGGTTTATTTTTTACGATTCAGTTTTCTAAAAAAAACATTTCACTTACCTTTTCTAACAACTACATGACGATTTTAATTTCCCGTCAGGAAATCTTCTATTTTGTCGCTCCTAGTCAATTTCGCATATTGGTGCAGCTGCTCGTACGTGTCTAAAAAGAAAGTCTAGATTTCATTTCGCAAGACGTAAAATCCTAAAGGAAAAACATTGTAATTACCACGCTGTTGTGTATATATATCTTAAAATTGACCGGAAATGATCTTGTTGCACATTGTAGGGATTTCTGCAAAAAAACAGATAATAATGAGTAACGTTTCCCGCGAATGGAGTTTGTGGTCATTTATCACGAGGTTGTTATTCTTATTGCACAATATATATATATATATATGGTCTTTTAATATTAGACTACTATAAGGATTGAAACGTTGAGATTAATGCGAGTCAGTTATATTGCCGAGAGAAAGTATACGACATGTGCGCCAGTTGATACTGTTGAGAGAGGGACCCATGAAGGGAATTATGTAATTACGTGCGGTAAAGAATCGCGGTCGCGTGGAAATTCGACGACACAAGAAAAATGAGACACTTACACGTTTCCTATACGCGAGCTTTATATATATATATAGCGAACTCGACTGCATCAAGTTAGCTGTCACTGCGAGTTAATGTCCTCCAAAAAGCAAACCGGATGTCGAGTATATAGGAAAAGCTCGCGAAACAACTTCCGTTTCGCGTTATACAAAAATGACAAGGAGAGAGAAAAATTCCAAAAAAGGGTGAAAAATTCAGATATTATGCGCACTTTCATTCCTTATAACAAGAATTCCCGATGTCATGACAAAAATGCTTTCCCATGAGATCTCCATATATTCTGAAGAATCCTTTTCACGTTATTTATATATATTATCCTGGGAAGAAGAAATTTTTTGAAGATTTACAAAGTACACATATACATCATCGTGATGCGCTCACAAAAGCCTCGAAAACAGAAAAAAAAATAAAAGAAACGATGTTTGGGGAGAAATATAAAAAAAAAAAAAAGTCGACAACAATTTCTACAAAAATGAGAACGCGTGCAGATAATGCCCCGCGATATTACCGTTATTATACCTCAGTCATTTACGTGCAGCAACAGAATCCCGCTAAATGCCTCCCAGTGAAATTCCTCGAACGCACTTATAACTTAACTCCACTTTTATAAGAGGGCATATATATATATATATACATATATAAATGGAGAGATTCGAAAACAATACTATACGGCAGAAAGTCTGCAAGTTGGCAGCAAAAACAAAAAAAGAAAAAAGTGTGCAGGGAAAAAGAGCTATTTCATCTTCCTGAGTTCGAAGGTCTAATGACTTTCCAGGGAGATGTTAACCGCATGCAAAGATGCGCGCATATATAACTGATGATAGTGATGACTATCTCCATATTATTATATATATATATTGGGGGAAAATTACACTTTGAACAAAGTTTCAAAAATTTTCAATTTAGAAAATTTATATACACTGATATGTGAAAATTGAATTATGTTTGTTTATTAAAAAAAGATTTTTTTCGTGTTTGATTTTTGTATGCAGAAAAAATATATATTTGTCTCAGAGCCAAAGAAATATATATATTTATTTGTTTCAAATAAATTTTCTTTGAATTAAATAAAGTTTTTATTTGAGTTAAATAAATTAAAAAGTATTATTAGGCTAAAAAAATATTTCTCTGGATATATTATTTATTTACAAAAATTGCTGCAAAATCCACTTTTTACATATATAATTTACACACGCCTAATGAATTAATTTCTAATAATTTGTCAAATGGCATTTGCAATCTTTTTTTCTTAAATTGATTCACTTTTTTAACATCTCAATTTATATGTGTAACAAATAAAAATGGATTTTTTTTGTATTTTTAACTGTTGATCGCAAAAAGTTTCTTGCACAATAGTTTTATTGCTTTATTAATCTCTTGCTCAATAAACTGTACTGTCATTAAATGACCAACGATTTTGTTTTTATAAAAGTGCACTTTTTTTTTATTTCACTCTCATTTACAATTTTTAGAAATAAAAATAAGTTCTTTTTCATAAAACATTGATTTTGAAACTATATATTTTTAGCATATTTTCCATGAATATGTTTTTTAGGTGACTATAATTATAGAGTTTAAAAAAAAGAATGTTAGATTGGTTCAAAATATTTGAGGTTATATGTTCGCCACAACAAATTATTCAGTATATATACGTGAACTAATAATGTTAAATAGATATAATTTAATGAAACAACGACGACAGGTTGTGACCAAATGCACCCAGACCTCATATTGTGTATTATAAAAAAGATATAATAATCGAGTCAATTGCGCAAAACTAAGCACACAATCACGCGATCAGTATATATAGCATATTCTTGAAAAGTATATGTATATATACATTTACAACGACGACGACGACGACGACGGACGTCGAACCTTTATGGGACCACATTTATATTCCGGAATCTGATAATAGTACGAATAACATCTGTCGTAATGATCAGGTACAACTGGTTTAAAAGCCATAATGTATATGTGTATGTGTTTCAGCTACCAGTTATACGCGCGATTTTCCATCGCGCGTCGTTTTTGTCGCACGACGCGTGGCGAGAAAAAAATTATCCACTCAACAAATATGGTATCCGTTATGTATATATATATATGTCGCATGAATATCCCATTAAATTGATTAATTCGACTTTTTAGCATTTCGAAATTCACAGTTTAGAAACTATTATTTAATTATAAAGAAAAATAAATTTGAATTACATATATTTTAGATTTTTTTATTTCAGTTATAATTTGCAATAGAAATTTATAAGATGATAGAATTTTAACTGGTCAGGAATTTTTTTAAATCAAATATGCAGGAATTGTCAATTAAGAATTGATCTTTGACTTCTAAATATTAATCTAATACACAAGGATCGTTTTTTATCGATATAACGTAATATCTCGATATATATCAATGTATCGTTTGTTATGAATCGATATATCGAAATATATCGATCGATTACTATTGTTGTATCGAATTATCTCGATTATTGTATCGTGACCGTACCCTGAAGTATTTCGATTTTTGGCTTCGATATATGAAACTACGCAAGAACGAATGGTATTTCTATCGATACATCGCAATGTCGAATTGTGTATCGAGAAGTCGAGATATATCGATTTTTTTCATCGATTTTACAAAACGTATCGACTTTTCGGTATGAATTGTCTGCGCTTATACTCGCAAAAATCAAATGTCGAATTAATTTTTATTATATCGATAAATATAATTTAAACATTTTATATTATATTTTCGCGCGACAATTTAAAATTTAATTTTCAATTTAAAAAAAAACGCTCATATGTTTTTTTTAGCAAAAAAAAAATGTCGTTACTTGAAAAATATAAAATGCGACTATTTTCTTATTTTTGTTTTGTAAAGTAACGTCAGTACCTTTAACCTAAATTACTATATATAACGAGGGAAAAATGTTTTCCTTTTATATATATTTCTTAAAATGTCGGTATCGAAGCGCCCGAGAAAAAAAAATGAACGAGAGATGAGGAGAAGCAATTCAAGAAGTAATATCCTCCATTTCGCTTTTGCCGAATAAAAGAACGCCATTTTTCTCGGTGTTGAGAGAAACGAATTTTCGATGGAAGGATAAAACGAAATAAAGGAAAAAATATAACGTCTGGAAACCGGAAGTGCAGACGGATTCGAAAAGAAGAACGGGAGACGAGAAAATTCTCTCGTATATAGCTATATATGTATATACATATATATATATATATAAACACGAGAGAGGCGAAGGTCGATGGAGAGAATTTCCGTGCCCGCCATTTTATCGGCATTCGCGAAAGAAACGCGAAACTTGTGCGCTTCAAGTAAATCAGCTGACGGAAATAGAAGGTATATAAACTTATTGAACGTGAATTTTTTCTTTTCAATTTTTCTTTATATATGTGTACCATCAACGTATACATACTTATATAGTCTATACACATAAAACATATATATTAAAACATTTTTTTTTTCTCTATATTATTTCAAAATAGTCAAATTTATATAGAAGGAAAAATATAGAGTAAAAAAATTTAAAAAAAAAGAAAATAATTAAATTAAAATGAAAAAAATGAATGTTTATAGATGCTTGTTTTACTACTATTTTGAATAATCCGATAATCCCCATTAATTATGAAAAATGATCGTATTATGTAAAATTAAAATTTTATATATA